AGATTAATTAGTGCGATTAACGCGCTGTTTCTGACAAACGCTAACGTAGATACGAGTAATGAGCAACGCTGACGAAACTGGGTTCAAGTTCCCGAACCGAATCATGACTCGTGCAGATACTCCTGTGTGTGAGTTAGTGGAGGACAATGGAGCAGCAGGAGGTAAGAAAACACCCCCCCCTCCGACCCCCCCTCCCCCTGAAATTCTGACATCCCTGTGTGAATATTGAACCTTGTTCTTGTGAAAGTCTTGTGTGTGGACCAGACAGATCCACTCCAGGCCTTATTAGAGTGACGTTCATCCCCGGAGAGAGTTATTTGTCTCAGAGCAGTGAATCGATGATGGCTTCAGGAACCTTCAGCGTATGTACTTAACCGAACAAAGATCTCTCTCTCTCTCTCTCTCTCTCTCTGTTGAAGTGTTGAAGGAAAATATTCCGAGGCTGCAGATTAACACGGTCGTTTCGTTCCTTGAATTTCACCTGCGTGTTTCCTTAAACCTTCACCACGTTTGCTCCTTTGACACCGCAGCGGCCGCGTGTCAGTGCTGACAGTGTGAGAGCAATGAAACGGTCAAATTAATTTGGATTTAAGAGCCCGGGTGACACGGAGGCAGAAGGAAACCTGGTGTTTTTCCTCTCTGATTTGTCACCGCGGGTTGAGACAAGTGTAATTTCTGCGGTTGTTATGAACAGCGGAGTGAGAGCGACGGCTGCTCCGGGTGGAAGGTTGGCTGGAAATGGAAGCTGTCATCCTGACCGACAGAAGAGCACTGACGAAGACCACTGACGAAGAGTCAGGACCAACAGAACCTGCTTTTATTCTCGCCTCCGAAGCTTTGGCGCGTGACTTTTGCCTCTTTGGATTTTTTTTTTTTTTTTTAAATAAACAATTTAACATCTATTTGTAGGTCCTGGCCTCAATCTAAGAAAACAGACCAAGTGGCAACACAGACATATATATATATATATATATATATGACTGGGAGAGAGAGAGTGTGTGTGTATGTGTGCGTGTGTGTGTTATTTAATATACTTGTAAACAGAGACCTCTCCACTCATGGCCAATCAGCTCAAGGCCCACTCTGACCCTTGAACAGGTTTAATTTGAATCAGGGATGTTTTCTTCTCTATAAAATCTTAAGTCTTTAATTGATTCAACCTAAGATGTTTAGCTAATAAATCCTCATTTCAATTAGTGTTAGCTAATAGTGAGATTTCTTGTCTTTGTATATATATATATATGGGATGTCCGATAATCAGCCGAACGATATTATCGACCTGATATTAACATATTATGTAATGTCTGTAAGAATCATTATTGTTTTTTTCCTCCGATAATGAAAACCTGAAAACACCAAATGATGTGTGACCTAAAAAAAAGTTTTGGAGAAAAACGGCTGTATATTGAAGTGAAAGCCACTAGATGGCAGCATTGCAGCTCATTTAATTGATCACATACACATAGAGTGGTTCGTACAAATAAAGAAATATCTTGGACATTCCTAATATACAGTGTATATATCCTTTATTTTTTTCCCTTTAACTAATTAATACAGAAATGTTGGATCTGATTATATTATTGTACATCTTTAGTATAATTGGTGGCGTAAATGAGCCTTAGGTATTTACTGTATACACTTGTGTACTACTGTACTGCAGTTGAAACTAAAAACCTTCAGAAAGATCGAAAACAAAATGAACTAAATTAAGTAAACAGACCCTTAAAAGCTGCGTACAAGTCGACGCCTCCGCCACTCAGCTGTAGTGTGTATTTGTACCTTACATTATTTGATTTCTACACCCACTTACAGTCATGCTGTTGCAGCCGCAGCGAAGTGAATGTGTGTTTGTCACTAACAGATTTCCCCTTTGTATGAATAAATATACATAAAGAGCAAAACAGGCAGAAGTGTTGACGGAGCGTCGCTGTCCTCTGAATTCCTGACATGTCAAAGCATTTCAAACGCAGACGAGGCAGCGATTCATGCACAGGCTAATTGGACAATCAAATGTTGAGGAGCAGAAAGTGCCCGTGTGGCTGTTCTACGGTATGACAACAACAGGTAAACAATCTATTTTTCCCACCATTTAGTAAGTTAATAGCAAATACAAAACTTGTATTTCGCTAAAGTAGGGATGTCCGATAATATCGGCCGACCAATATTACAGACCCGATGTTAGCAGAATTACGTAATATTAGTAAGAATCTTTATCGGTTTTTCCGAAACCCAGATGAAACCCCGATAATGCCATGCCTGGGTTTTGTCAGTTATGCTGGCGGTTCGTTGACTGTGGTTTTTGGGGGAAAATGTTTGCATATATCGGTATTGGTTTATATCGGAAATTAAGTGTTTGGACAATATCGGCATATCGGATAAAAGTAGAGATCTAGCAAAAACAAAAAAGTATGTTTTTAACGCAAAGAAAGACCAGAAATAGCTTGAAGCCAGTAGTAACAATAGCTGGTAACAAAAGGTTTTTACGCAACTGGTATGAATCAAGGCTATGCTAAAGCTAGCGCTTGCCAACTAGCACTAACTAATGTTTGTGTTATGTCACAGCATGAACGTGAACAGACGACACACACAACATTAAACATAAACATTATGTCAATGTTGGAATTTAAAACTGAACCTTAGACGTGCTATTTAAGTGCTAACTTTTTTTCTCCGTTCTGTCAACGCTGACTCGTGGTCTTCGTAGCTCGTTGTCCAGTAATTTTCACTCGTGTATTTTGGTCTTCGTAGCTCGTTGTCCAGTAATTAGCATGGCAGCAACTCTCACCATCTGTGCTACTTGGAGCAGAACTGAAAGCAGTGACTCATGGGAAGTTAGCTACAGATCAGATGACCTTGTTTCGCCGCAGTCACAGTCAAACTGCTCCACTCTGCCCACTTTCTGCACAGGTCGTGATTTATTTAAACACGTGTAAAATAGCTAAAGGTTAGCGGAGTGATAGCTACAATAGGACCAGCGCCAACAGAACTAACTGCTTCTTTGTGTGACACCTACACCATTTTAGAAAATTAGATTGTGAAAACCAAATCTTTAGTCCAAAGCTTCGTTTGTTAGAAAGCGACGGAGTGAACGTTGTACACGCCACAAATACAGGACGCAGTACAGACGTTACATCAAGCAAACAGGCTGTGACGGCAGCCTCGTCTTTTCATTGTTACAGTGAACAGATGAAAAGAGTGTGTGCCTCGGAGCACGAGTCTTTATGTGGATTATGAATCAACCTGAGAGACGGCTTAAAGTCGCTAAATAGTCGGCGTGAGTATTCAGTCAGACAAACGTCTCTTTGAGCTGATTATTCCCATTCAGGGTGAAGCTCTC